TACCAGGGCTTGACCATTTGTGTTTGCAATGCAACAAGTGAAAGGGAACGTGACCTGCCCCATTCAGATTGTCCCTCCTGCTGGAAGCACCAGCCTTGCCCAGATTTTTTCTTTTGCTGTCTCCTGTACTCCACTTGCCCTGACAGCAGCAGTGAGGTCCTTGAGAACACAAAGAAGACACCATTAATAGGTCTATATCTCTCCAGACTGTGTGACAGAATCTATGAGATCTGGAATAGGAATGACCCAAAGCAACTGTCTCTATGTGTATTCCTCTTGAGCCCAGGGCTGCCCTGTTTCACTACCTTACCTGGCACAGTCCCACTGCAGCTCCAGCACCCTTGTGAATCATTAACAGTCCAAGCCCAGCTGCTCCTTTCACAGCTTGTCCTTTCACACAGTTTTCCTTCCCAGCCCCCAAATATTTAATTCAAGCAAGGTACAGACAGAGAAGAGTAAAAAAGGTTTTATGTGAATCTGCATCTACTGACAACATGACAACCAGCTAGAGCAATAGTAGGAAAGTGTGCCCTATCTCTGCACCCGTGGTGGGCAAGCTGGTCCTCTTTGCAAACTTTGTTTGTCCTTTGCTCTGACATTCTACAGACATCCCTCTTCCTGCTCTTACAGGCAGCAGTCTTTTTTGGAGCTTGTAATAGGAGTTAAAAGTATCTCTGAGTCTCCTTCATGAACTTTCTGGCCCTGCTCCTTTACTAGTGGCACCTGGTCATTCACACCCCTGCAAGAAACTGCCATTTCCGTACCTTTTGCTTAGTGCAGGGTGGAGTTTTCTTGTTCAAGGCTGGTCAAAGTAGGCGGGCAGTGTAAAGCAGTCAGTCTTAGAGCTGGGATGTACACGAAGAGGACAGGAAGGGGCAGGCACAGGTGTAGGTAGGAGCTAAGTACACGTGTATATGAGACCCCAGCATGAAGACAGAGTGCCTGTACATGAATGCACAGTTGTTCATGTGACTGCCTGGAGGCGTGTGTACCACAGCAGTGAAGGTGTGTGAAGGCAACTTTGCTTGAATCAGGTCTGGTGGTGCTTCACAAGGACTTGTTAAGGTGAGATTTTTAACCATTTCTTGGTATCTAGCGTAGATGCTCTTGATGCCAGCAAATTGTGACAATTTTCTGCAGACAGAAGCTGTGGGTCTGGCTTAGAGGGCAGTTCCTGCTTCTCCAGACAGTCTTCTCAGTGCCCTTGCTCAACTTCTCCCACTAGTGACAGTCATGCCAGCTGCTCATCCCTGAATGGGCAGATGGCTTCTAATTCTGCAGGAATGGACCAGGCCAAATTGAAGCAGTATTTGAAAAAACTGTGAGCAACCATCAGTGCCCTCAAAGACCAGTGACATGACCAGAGCTTCTCTGGTGCCAGATCCTCTTTGCTACACTGCTGCGGTTACAGCAGTGGGGAACCTGTACATGTCTGGAGAACTCCCTCAGACTGGCAGAGCACTCAACATTACTATGCACAGCACAAGGTGTTTTTGGGCTGTAACTGTCTCACACCTGCCAGAGACATGCACATGTTCAATAATCCTGTAATTTGGGGATATGGCATCCAATGCTGAGTGCTTTTCATGGGTACATTTCCTTGGGCTGCTTGCTGCTTTCTGTAACACTTGCTCTTTGCCAGGATCAAGCTTTTCAAAGGTCTCTGTGTGTTTCTAGAAAAGCCTAAGACTCTGCCTTTTTTTTTTTTTTTTAATAAGCTGCTCAGGTTGTATTTTCATACCTTTGCTGTGGGAGACACTAACATGTTGACGCTGGATTGTTGTATTTTTTGGTAGTTTCTATATTGCATCCTTTGTGCCCTGAGATTCTTCCAGTTCTTTCTGCTCTCAGCGAAATCTTGGCTCTTCTCTGTTAGCACACACACTGCTAACAGTGTGCTTTTCTTGTTGTGCAGCAGAGATTGTCTCAATTATTCTGGGCTGTTCTTGTCAGCTCTGTGAGTGCTTCATATTTTCACTTTTGCAGTATGAAATTAATTCCATCACTGGTGACTGTGTATGTTTGCTGTAGAGAAAATGTGGTTAAGCTTAAAATTTTAGTTTAGAAACATCCCAGCTCCCATGACTGAGAAATACAGTGGTGAAAAATAAGGTTATATAATTAGTATTTCTGTCATATTAGAGAATGTATGATAAGACAGTATAGTATGATGCTGCTCTTTCATTCCTCTTCATCAGGCACACAATTCATTTCAGTCCTTCTACTCTCTCTGGAACAGACTTGTGATGACAACAATTATCACTACTTATATGAGTGAAGAAGCTGTTGAAACTGTGGTCTCACATGAGGTCATTTCTATCAAAAGCAGTCACTCTGTAAGATATCTAAAACATCCAGCTATCCCACGCTGGGATAAAAGTATTGTTTCCTGAGAAAAACCTGATTTCATTCTCATACTCAGGCAATTTACATATAGGTTTCCAAAGAAACAACTATTTTCTGTGGTTTTAAAGCTGCCTGGGTATCTACCTTCATGCCATTGTTCATGTCTGCTCAACAGAATTTTTCTCAATTAATAGCTTCTGGCTATATTCCAAGACCTCTGTCAGGAGTTAGAATAACAATATTAATGGTGCCAGATGGAAGTGATATCATCAAAGTTCATTTGGAAGCCAGGAGTTTGGTAAACACTGCTTGTATTCATTTGGAAGGAAGAAGCTGATATATCACTTATTTTTACAATAGTCTTTGTTTGCAGCTCTTCCTAGGGCTGGTCCAAATAGCAACCTGATTCAGTTCCTTTTCAGACCTGAACACTACAGGCCATTTGTGTAACCAAAAAAAATCAGCGGGCTTCTTGTCCAGGAGACAAGAATGATGTGGTCCCTCTCTAATTGCACAGCCCCATCCTTGCCAGACATTACTAAAGCAAAATTCATATTGTGGTAGCACCTGTTCGCATCAACCAGACTTACCCATCAGGCTGGGTATTTTTCTTACTCACAGAAATTATAACTGCTGCCTTATAAGCCCTAAGCTCAACACAAATGCACAGCAAGTTACTAAGAAAAGAAAAGCCAATTTATGCATGTATATTGGAGGCACAGATTAGGTACTGTTCTTCACTGGTTAGCAGCAGTGACTGTATGTGAACATCTAAAACATGAGTGCTAGAGGAACTGAAATCATGGGAAGAGGCACCCCCATGCAAATTAGTCTGAAAACTTTGCTGCAGAGGAAAATTGAGGCAGGGCATAAGGAGGAGGTTAGAGAAACTTTGGGAACATTCAAAATTACTGTGGATCCAGATGGCATGGCAAGCATGTAGTAGGGAGGCAATGTCTGCATTGCATCTGTGTTGAGTCATCTTATACCTCTGCTGCTTGAGTAGGGGGGCTACTGCTCGGTGTGGGAATAGCTGCTAGAGTCTCATGCAATTATGGACTGCACAAAAGCAGTGTACAAAGCTGTAAGGGCCTGGGCTCGGATGCTGCTCTGTCGGGGATTAACATCTTGCCCTAAAAGCCCTGCTCTCTCTGTCCTGTCTTGCTGTGCATCCCCCCTGGAAGGACTGACCATGACTAGGAACCAGAAAAGTTTTTTCAGTTTTAATTCACCTTGGAAAAACAAGGCACCTGCACTAGCAAGAGAGGTCTGTCTCCACTGTGGCACAGCTAAAGTGACAACCTGGCAGACGGCGATGGGGAGCACTCCATGCTGCCTGGGCTTCAGTGCTGCACGAGGAGCCTGTCCCCAGGGTGGCCCATGCTGCAGGTACCCAGCCTGTGTTTGAGGCACAGTCAGGCACTGCTGGGGGACAGAACGAGAGCGCGCAAGACAGGAGTAATTGGCAAAGTGTCCTTTAATGTATTTAAAAAAAAAAAAAAAAAAAAGAATTCTTTCTGCCTCAGATCCCATCTTCAGTGGTGTATTTCCTGGAGATTACTGTGCCAGCTAGTATTCAGGCTATGAATTCTTTCTATGGTATTTTCATGCCATGTCCCCAATGGCATGAAAATTTTTAGACATTTTCCAATAATTCAGTCATCCTCTACAGGCAGAAGAGAGGTTTAGTGTATGAAACAAGGACCCAGCTTTGGGCAGACCTTTGAGTTCAACTAGCACATTCTATTGTACATCTTCTCATAAACAACTAATAGGATGAGTGGGCTTGGAGGGAGGGATAGCAAATGACAGTCTTTTTAAAGGAGTTAGGCTAAGAACGGGGTTAGTAGGGCAGGTAAGCAGTTAAGCCTGCCTACACAAAGATGGGTCTTTCTAGGAAAATTGCCTACAAAGCTCTGTCTGGATGAGATACTGTTCTTGGATTTATTACAGTGCCAAGCTTCTTCCTTTGCTATGTGAAGTTTTCCCTGTGGTGACAATAAATGTTTCCTGTAATTTCAAAAGGAGTATAATCGAAACAAAAGGGAACCTACACTGTATGTTTACAGCATTTTGGCATAAAAATAATTGTAAATATTCGCCAGAGTAAGGTGTTTAAAAGTAAAATGTATAACTGTTGTATTCTGAACACCTCAGCAAAAAGGAAGGGTTTGCATTTTTCCTTCATAAAAATTGCCAGGATCATTTGCAGGGATTATGCACTTGAAGTACACACTTGTCTGTACTGACTTCAGTGCACTCAACTAGTTCTTAAACTTTGATAAAAGTGCAGACAAGTTTTTCAGTATCTTCCAAGACTATATTAGAATGGCTTACTGACACATAGTGGTTTTGCTGCAGAAAACCTTCAGCCCTACAGTACTTATGTCCTTTGCAAAGACACATCGTGCGGTGGTTGTCACAGTGTCACTAGTAGTGTGGCAGCTTTCCAAAATCTTGTGCCTGCAGAGGGATGCACAGGAGCCTGATGCACCACATCTTGCCTTTTTCATCACCTTGTGATGCTGAACTTCCTCTGTTTCTGCAGGTCCCTTGCAATCATGGTGAAGTCTAGAAGAGTGCAGGTGCTCCTGATTCTGGTAGTTCTGTCCTTCCTTCTTATCCACTTCCTACCCTGCAGCAACAATGCCCATATGGAAGAAAAACCTTCTCCTGTCCACATCCTCATTCTCTCCTCCTGGCGGTCAGGATCCTCCTTCACTGGACAAATCTTCAGCCAGCACCCCAGCGTCTTCTACCTGATGGAGCCTGCATGGCACGTTTGGGTTAAGATGTACCAGAACAGTGCCAAAGTCTTACACATGGCAGTGCGGGACTTAGTCAGGTCGGTCTTTCTGTGTGACATGTCTGTGTTTGATGCTTACATGTCTAGCCAGAAGAAAAAGTCTGATTTATTTCAGTGGGAGACAAGCCGAGCCTTGTGCTCCCCACCTGCCTGTGACTCATTCAGTCGCAGTGACATAATCACTGCGGGCAACTGCAAAACGATCTGTGGCAAGTACCCATTCAGCAAGGTGGAGGAAGCTTGTAAAACCTATAGCCATGTTGCCATCAAGGAAGTTAGGTTCTTTGACCTGAAAGTTCTCTATCCCCTTCTCACTGATCCATCCCTGAACCTCAAAATCATTCACTTGGTACGTGATCCTCGGGCTGTGTTCAGGTCCCGAGAGAATACAATGGCAGACCTGAAACGAGACAGTAACATTGTTGTGGGGTCTCAGAAGACAAAGGGAGAAATGGGGCCCTACAACACAATGCAGGTAATCTGCAAAAGCCATGTTGAGATATACAAGGCAGGAAGTCAGGCCGCTCCAAGCTTCCTGAAAGACCGGTATCTGCTGGTTCGCTATGAAGACATTGTCAGAGACCCACTAGCAAGGGCTGCTCAGATGTACAGGTTTGCAGAACGCCATTTCACACCAGAGCTTCAGAAATGGGTCCATAACATCACCCATGGAAAGGGTCATGGAGCACAAGCCTTTGATATTGGGTCGAGAGATGCACTGAGAGTATCCCAGGCCTGGAGAAAGACACTTCCCTTCCAGAAAATAGAAAAAGTGCAAAATGTGTGCAAAGATGCAATGGATTTGCTGGGCTACCGGCTTGTTCAGTCTGAAGAAGAGCAGAAAAATATGTCTCTGGATCTTTTGTTTACCCAGAACTCCTCTGAGTACCAGATTTTGAAGGCAGAAAAGCTGGTCTCTGCACCTACTCTCTGAAGGTTGCAGTGCTGAACTGTTCACTAGAGCCAAAGAGGACAGAGGCGCAGGCATAGAAGTGTAAGAGCGTGCATGGATGCAAGAACAAGTGGTACAAGAACCCTGACTACATTCAGGAGAGCTCTCAGCAGCACAGGGTCACTCTCCATGAACACTGGAGATACAGCCACAATAGAAGCTAAAGTAACACAAGTTTGTTTTCCAAATTAATTATGTTTAGGTTGGAGCATACAGAATTCCAGAGGAGTAGGACCAGATGGCAGAAGCTCAAACCCCTCACAGACCACAGCTGAAGAGTAGGGAAGCCACATGGAGCAATTGCACTGCCAAGAAAGTGGAAATACAAAAGGAAGATGAATAAAGAAAACATTGCTTGACGTGCTGCCATGTAGGATATGTAGTGCCAGAAAAGACGCAAGGATGACCGGACATTTGGTTTCTGGAAAGATGTTGGACTTTGGTTTGATTTTGTGTTGGGTTTTTTTTGTTTTGTGAGATTTAGTTTTTTGTTTTGTTTTGGAGTTTTGGGTTGGTTTGTTTGTTTGTTTTTTAATGGTTGCATTTTCAAGTCCAGTTTTCCTTTTGCTCCATTCATGTGTCTGAGTATCCAGCCTTATGGCAAAGGTGGGGAAATGTTTGTGTTCACTTACTGTATAATGGGAAAATGGAATAAACCAGCTATTGCTGAAAATGAAACTCCTGGGTTTTCATGTGGGAAACCATTTCTGTGATTATGTGAATCCATTTATTTTTTTGCTGAAATAATTCTGTTTTCTAGCTTTCAAACCCAAGAACAGTTGTTTTCCTGGGAATTCCCACAGTCCACATGGGTGGCAGAAGAATTCTTGCTAAGGTTGACATCCTAAAGACAAGGTAAAGACATAGATTTCATTGGCATAAATACCAAAACTGAGAAGACGGGTTAATGGGAGAGGATTGAAGAAACCAAGAGAAGATCAGGAAGTTCTCCTATTGAAATATTTGGTGAGAGTATTTCTTGTCTTGGAGCACAAAACAATAAATTTAATGGACTATGCCATTCTCCAGTGTCTCCACTGGAGATGCCATTCTCCCACCTCCAATGGGAATATATAGCTCAAACCTGAACAACAGAATTGTTTTCACCTGGTTTTAAGTCTTCCAGAAGACAAGGTGAAAAACTTGCTACCAGATTTGGGGATGAGTGAAATGCCTACAGATACCTATTTCTGAATATCCTTTTTCATGGGTAAACTGCAGAGTCCCTTTAACACAGAACACTCACTACCTTAGGAATATGGGTGTCTGTATTCCTAGAGCTAAACCCCTAATCCCTGCAAAGGGGATATTGTATCATGGAAATAGTCTTATTACTAGGGATTGTGTTGAAGGACAAAATCCATGCTGAGCAGGCAGCACTGGCTTCATAGTAGTAAGTTCTCTGAAAGCAAGGTATCCTCCTTTACACTGTGTTTATGCAAATTTAGGGTAGGCAAGCTGACATAGAGAAGTGGGAGTTGCACTGTGCCACAGGAGCACAGAGACACTGTTTTTCTTTATAGTCCCTTTAAAATACACCTTAACATATTCAGTTAAAAGCCCACTGTTACTGAAGTAAGTTATAGTAAAGAGCTTCCTCCTGTAAGTGCCAAGAAGCTGAATTCTGAGCAAAGATAAATTCGTTTCGGTACATTGCTACTTATCTCTACATTAGCCAATGTCAGCTTCAGTGACTTAAGTTTTATTATGAATAGTAATTGTTTTCAGTGGATGCAATCAATTCTGTGTATCATGTGTTTACCTGAATAAAAACCTCCACAGTGTTTCCAGTCAGTAAAAAAATGACATAAAAGTAATATATGATGCATTTCCCTAAGGTACTGTTTTGAAAATTACTTACACTTCTGCTTCCTAAGCTTAATCAGAGAAAATGCAGAATTGTTGATTTCAGTATGTCTTTATTATAGTCCTTTAGGTATGTTTCCTCAGTACAACAGTTTGTAAGATTTTTTTTCTTGAAACAGCAAAGTCTGCTGCCAGTCTAGTTATGTGAAAATGTAAAGTTGTCTTGATTCAAGTAAAGATAACTTAAAATACTTTCTGGAGGAGGAAAAAGAAAACTCAACAAAAATCTCCCAAAATCTCAAGATGCTGATGATGATGATGTGTAAAACTATGACTACATCCTTTGGCATATGCAATAAAGATCACAGAAGTCTGTTTAGAAACAAACATTGAGTTTACATTGTACAAGTTTAAAAGTGTAATCTCTGTTTTTATACCAATGAAATGTAAGATGGAGAAGTCTCCAGTCAAAAGTGGTATTCCTGTCTGTTGCTCTTCAAACTGGTGCATACAATCAGTTTTCCATTGGTAACTCTAGTTATGAAAGCATAGAAATTAATTTGTTTTGATGAATGCTGGCTAACTCTAAGAGGAAGCAAATCGGAAATACCAAAATTCCAGATAATAGTTTGCAGACCCAGAATTTCTGGCTGTAGCATTCTCTTAAACTCTAAGTTCTTGTATGTGCATTGCCACTTTGCTCACTTTTCCAGGTACACAAATATTGCTGCTGCAGGCAATAATAGGAAGAAACTTCTTTGAGCCACAAAAAGAACCTTCCTGACCTTTTGTGATAGTAGAGGAACCTGATAGGAATATGGAAAACCAAACTGTCTCCAGCATGTTGAAAGGAGCATAACTGTGTTGTAGGTAAGACAAAGCACAGAAAACAAAGATTTTTATCATGGGAAAAGACAGAACCAGAAGTAGAACCATACAATATGGTGTCATCTCTGGGTTCTCCAGGTTTTAACCTGGTAAAAGAGACCTAGATCTATGTGCATGCACAATCAAGTGCATCTGTGGACAAGCAGTGCCTTTCAGGAGTTTGTAACAGAAGAAAGAGGGCAACCTTGAGTAAACTGTGCTCTTTGTGTCTTAGTTCCTACACCTACTGAGTGCACAAGCACACATGGAAAGATTCTCAGCATTAGACAATGTGTCCATAAGGCTCTGCAAAGGCAAAACCACTGTATGTGACCTCAGAAGTTTGCACTGCACCTTACACTAATTGCTCCAATAAGACAAACTCACTTCTAAAATAAGTGCCACTTAGAGGAAATCTGACCATTTTATATTGCAGCTATTTAATGCATTCTGTCTCTCACTTTGAATTCCAGAGCAGTTTTGTTAAATGATACCACTGCAACACTATGGTGCTGCTGGCATGTGTACACAGCCCCAGCTAGAATGGGAGCTTTCAGCTGCAGGAGATGACAGGTCTCCTGTTCATGAACCTGGTCATCAGCAAAACTTGGATTTCAAACCAAGGTGGTAACATTCCTAATGTAAAAAAAAAATAAAAATTACTGCATTAGCTATGTTGTCTTGCATTCCCTCATTAAGTGCTTGTCTGGCTTCCACACGAATCTCAAATAACTGTCCAAAGTCTGAATAGCACGACTATGCCAAATAATTATCACTTTTTCAGTCCATGGAAACACTGTGTAGTGCTGTTTTAGCATTTATGTGGTTACATTGGTTAACTCCTTGAATAATCAGTAGGTGTTGCAGTGGTTTCCCAAAACAGCAGTCTCATTATACCATTTTTTATTTTCAGTATAATTTTAATTTGGCTTAACATCAGCCATTTCACAATTCACCTTAATTTTCTGAGTGCCACAGTGCAATATGCTAAAAAGCCAAAATATTAACTCTTTAGAGAGGTTAAAAAAAAAACCCAACCAAACTTCGCCTTTGCCAGCCCATTTTATTTCACCAAAAGAATGCATTCCAGATTTTTAGGACTCCCTTCAAATAGTATTAAAATAAGTAACCAGAGCACAATTTCAGGCTAAAAGTACTGAATTTTTCAGATTATGACTTTATCCTAGCAATAGTGTTCTCTCTCAAACACAATTTAGGTGATAGATACATAGCCTCTGATCATTCCCTCTTAACTTTCATTTCCTATTTCAACTATTACTCATAGCCCTGAAAGCTGGTGTACTTTTCCCAAGTAGAATTTACGGCCTGGTACAAGCATTCCTTTGATTAAAGCAGCTGCATCTCTTAGATCTGCAGAGATGCAAAACAGGCCTTTTAATTAAAAAAAAAAAAAAAAAAAAAAGGCATTTCTGAAACTTCAGAACTTTGATCAGATTTTCCACTGTGTTTCTGAAATCACTATTACATTTATGCAACTGTACTAGATCAGTAATGTCCTCTTAACTCTCTCTAAACACGATCCGCTTTGCTACATTTTCAGCTCCAAATTTGGCTATCAGTTGATTTCTGACATGTTCATCATCCTTTTGCAATTCTAAATCATCCTCTCTGCTCCATACAGGGTACCCATCCAAGCGCTGCCCTGTCTGCAGAAAGTATGAAGTAGCTTCCACGTCACCGCTGTTTTTCAGAAAGGCCTGTGTAACAGTGAGCAGGTCCACAGCAAACTTCTCCATGAAGTGCTCCATAGTTTTTACCACCTGTCCCACCACATTGGAAGAAGAACAAGTGCTTTTTGGTCTTTCTTGCCTTTGTAACTGAATGTCAGGGAAAGCAGAGTCCTCTGGCCCAGTTTTCAGCTCAGATGCTGTTTCTCCTGGGGACCTTCTCAATCCATCTTGTGTAGGAAGTTCTGCAACATCTGAAGAGTCACTTTCTGACTAACAGGAGAGAAGTGGAATCACCAGTTAGAGATGGTATTTTCTGGCAAATCTTTTACCACTGCAACCACCTTTTACTCTGACTCTATAGTATATTAAAACCTCAGAAATTACTAAACATAGTAAAAGTTAGTGACTGAAGCAAAGCCGTATGTGTTAATGAAGCTGCACATGATCACAGAAATCCATAAACTATAAGGAAGAATTTGAACAAACTAAGCATAAAAGGCAAAAGTTGTTAAAAGGTAAAAGTGTTGATGCAACGGCAGGAACGTTTTTTGCCTGAGGTGAAAGGATGACTTCCATTTGCCAATACAGCTTTTAATGTGACAACCCCCATCACATAAA